AGTTACTATTACAATTTTTTCAATAATCTTTTTATAAAACACTTTAATTAAATCCAATTGTGTGATATGTTTATAATTTTCTTTTTCATCACGATAATAAAAGTAGTCATCCATTTTTTCTAAATATATGTCAATACTATCTTTTTCGGTGATTATCATCCCTAGATCGCATAATTTGAAATTAAATATTCTCCCATCTTCAATTTGTTTATTAAAAATTATTATTCCACCAGCATCAATGAATTTAGATATATATTCTGATTTAATAATAATTTGACTTAAACCTTTTTCTTCATCAAAATCTTCATCGCGCTTAAATATAAAAGTAATTCTTTGATTTGAAGATTTCGTCATTATCAATTAGACAGCAAAACATTCAAATGAAAAAGAAATCTTTTATTAAAGATTTCGCATTAAAACAGTGATACAAAAGGTAAGAAATTCAAATTTTTTTAAAATTCGTTGGGTTTGTTGGGTTTGTAAGTGTTGCGTTTGATAAAGTCAGTGTTATAGTTGTTTTTGTCAAAAACACGTTTGAGATAGTTGTTTTTGTTTTGTAGAGTATCCGGTGAATCACATATGATTTGTGCACGTCTTGTTAATGTTCTGATTGTGGTGGCTTTGTGTGATGTAGGGTTGTAAGATGATTGGTCTAGTAATCGTTCAGTATGTGTTGGCTTGCGATAAACTGTTGTTCCTAGTTTTTGATTGTCATTTTTACCAAACAGTCGAGAAAACGAAGAGTTCCGTTTTCTTCGACATCTTTGGTAAATTGTATGTGGCTGTTCTGTTTGTTGATGTGAGTATGGAAGTCGTCAATTTCGTCTGCATGTAGTGCTGTGATTGTGTCATCTACGTAGCAAAACCAAAAAGGTAGTGCATGTTTGTAAGTCATGAGCGCCCGTTCCTCTATAGATTGCATTACAATTTCAGCAACTACAACAGAAACGGGTGAGCCCATTGCTGTCCCATGTAATTGTTTGTAGTGTGTTCCTTTATATGGGAAGTAAGTTGAGGTGAGGCAGAGCTCCAATAACTCAATAATGTCTTCTGTCGGTAATGGAAGTACGTCCGTGGTGTTTCTAATGAGGCTTTTTGTACAAGTAAGTGCCAGATTAAGTGGAATACTGGTGAACAGTGATTTCACATCAAAAGACACTAGTATATAGTTGTCCGGTATTTGTATAGTGCACAGTTTTTTAATGAAAGTTTCAGTGGATTGTAGCTTGTGTTTTGATTTGTTTGTAAGTGGTTGCAGTATGTTTGGGAAGTACTTTGAAATTTCGTAAGTAAGCGAACCACAGAATGATACAATTGGTCGCATGGGTATTTGTGGTTTGTGAAGTTTTGGTAGTCCGTATAGTCTTAGTGGTCGTGGTACTGAACATCTAAGTCGATAGTAAATGCGTTAAGATATAATGTTAGATTTTCTCATAGAGAAGATCTTGCTGTTAAGTTTGCGTACTAGTGATGGTGTTGGGTCTCGTTTGAGTTGTTAGTACGTTTGTCTGTCGTTAACAAGGGTGTCCATTTGGTTAAAGTAATCATTCCTGTCCATGACCACAGTCACGCGTCTTTTGTCTGCTGGTAAAATGACGATGTTGTTGTCGTGTTTTAGTCGTTTGAGTGCTTGTTGTTCGTCGTTTGTCAAGTTATTGTCTCGTATAGAGGACGATTGTAAAGTGGAGGCTACCCTGCTTCTGATCTCGTCTTTGGTTGTCTCTGACAAGTCTCTTTGATACGCTAGGACAGCCTCGACACTTGATACTATCGTCTCAGTCGGGATTTGTCTAGGTGTTATGCAATGTTTTAGTCCGTAAGATAGTAGTCGCGTTTCAGTTTTGTCTAATGAGCGGGAGGAAATATTCCCAGTTATCGTCAGCTGTCGTCCAAATGATCGTAATAAAGTATCACGATACTCCTGGGTTCAAACCATTTACTTTATTACGATCATTTGGACGACAGATCGAACAACTTGCTAACGACTACATACGTTTTGCAAGCAACGTCAGACGCATACGCCAACAACTCTGGTTCAACCCCCGCTGCAAGAATTTTGGTCTCGTTCCTTCAGGACTTAGAATTAACTCCCCGTTGAACACACAAGAGGCTATTCAGATTGTCAAATCTACCAGCAGACGACTGATACGAGCACGGATTAACGACTGTCACAGACGAATCAACTATTACATCAAACAACAAGAACAAAGACTTAACAAACTGAAGGAACTTATACCAACGACAGTAAGTGATACTTTACTTTCTACGATACAAACTATTGCAGAGAAACGAGCAAACAAGACAGAGACACAACACCAAATCAAACAACAACAAAAACTTGAACGTTTAAAACAAGCAAAACACATACAAGACATAAACATGACGATAACTGGGTGAGGAATATTTCTTACCGCTCATAAGACGAAACTAAAACGCGACTACTATCTTACGGACTAAAACATTCCATAACACCTAGACAAATCCCGACTGTGACGATAGTATCAAGTGTCGAGGCTGTCCTAGCGTATCAAAGAGACTTGTCAGAGACAACCAAAGACGAAATCAGAAGCAGGGTAGCCGACACTTTACAATCGTCCTCTATACGTGACAACAACTTGACAAAAGACGAACAACAAGCATCATCGTTATTTTACCAGCAGACAAAGGGACTCGTGACTGTGGTCATGTAAAGGAATGATTACTTCGACAAAATGGTCACTCTTGTTAACGACAGACAAACGTACGAACAACTCAAACGAGACTCAACACCATCACTAATACGCAAACGTAATAGCAAGATCTTCTCTATGAGAAAATGTAACATTATATGTGAACGTATTTACTATCGACTTAGATGTTCAGTACCACGACCAACCAGACTATACGGACTACCAAAACTTCTCAAACCACAAATACCCATGCGACCAATTGTATCATTCTGTGGTTCGCCCACTTACGAAATTTCAAAGTACTTCACAAACATACTGCAACCACTTACAAACAAATCAAAACACAAGCTACAATCCACTGAAACTTTCATTAAAAAACTGTGCACTATACAAATACCGAACAACTATATACTAGTGTCTTTTGATGTGAAATCACAGTTCACCAGTATTCCACTTAATCTGGTACTTACTTGTACAAAAAGCCTCATTAGAAACACCACGGACGTACTGCCATTACCGACAGAAGAATTATGGATTTACTGGAGCTCTGCCTCACCTCGACTTACTTCCAATACAAAGGAACACACTACAAACAATTACATGGGACAGCAATGGGCTCGCCCGTTTCTGTTGTAGTTGCTGAAATTGTAATGCAATCTATAGAGGAACGGGCGCTCATGATTTACAAACATGCACTACCTTTTTGGTTTCGCTACGTAGATGAGACAATCACAGCAATACATGCAAACGAAATTGACGACTTCCATACTCACATCAACAAACAAAACAGCCACATACAATTTACCAAAGATGTCGAAGAAAACGGAACTCTTCCTTTTCTCGACTGTTTGGTAAAACATGACAATCAAAAACTATGAACAACAGTTTATCGCAAGCCAACACATACTGACCGATTACTAGACCAATCATCTTACAACCCTATATCACACAAAGCCACCACAATCAGAACATTAACAAGACGTGCACAAATCATATGTGATTCACCGGACGCTCTACAAAACGAAAACAACTATCTCAAACGTGTTTTTGACAAAAACAACTATAACTCTGACTTTATCAAACGCAACACTTACAAACCCAACGAACCCAACGAAACGAACAACTCAGTGACAACAGCAACGATACCTTACATAAAAGGTACGTCTGAGACTATCTCGCGTATCTTACCACCATACAACATACGTGTCGCACATAAACCAATCACAACGTTACGACAAGTACTAACGAACATAAAGGACAAAGAACAACCCAACGAACGACAAGGTGCAGTTTACAAAATAAACTGCTCCGACTGCCACGCCTCCTATATCGGGGAAACTGGCAGGAACTTAAACATAAGACTTACTGAGCACAAACGAGCTACTAAGAAACAAGACAAAACTAATCACATTGCCGAACATCACCGAATCACAAAACACAACATTGACTGGGACTCGGCAAAATGCATCACTTACAGTACTGACTATAGACAACGGCTTACATTAGAAAGTTGGTATACCAACTTGGAACAAACCCCCCTGAACAGATCACAGCAATTACCGGCACCTTACAAACGACTTATTCACAATACAAACAAACGATCAACTAAAAACATTACGCTTCAAACTAATTCACAATGACAATACACAATTGACACCCACACAATAAAACTAAAACGTCACACCTAAATCACACATCACAACTAAAAATAAAATATTTCACTTCACAATAATCCACAATGACAATACACATTTCCTGTACACACAATACAATTACGTAAGAACCAGATAACAAATACGGCTAACCTGACGTTTACCCCTCATTTGACTCTGAAGATGACTACCGCTAAGGTTGTCGAAACGTCAGTCAACAACAACAAAAACAGTCCTTCTCAGGACTTTATTAACCTAGACGATCATCATTTACAAACATATAACGATACTCCAGGGCTCAAACCATTTACTTTATCCTATTTATTATTTGTCTGAAGATGTCTTGAGTAAAGACGAAACGTTACAATAAATTTGATTTTACAATTTAGTGTTTTTTGGTCTATTTCTATGGCTCTAATCAGAACTTTATGTTGGGCATTAATTTTTATTACACAAATCCGATTTCCGCTCGGCAAGTCTCTCGCTACTATTTTAAAACTCCGTGGTAATTGACTTGCAAACTATTCTTCGTAAGCTTTTCTAAAAATAACGGGTCGTTTGCATGAAATTCGTAAGAAATTGGGAATTTGTACGTTGTCATACGAATTTGTTTTCAATATACATTGTTTTTGCATAATTACACATTCCTATTCTGTGCTCTACCCTTTGCTGACTTGTCGATTGGAAACGCTTTGTCGCACACAAGAAGTGTATGAAGAAAACTGCAAATTCTAGTCACGCTAAAATTAGTGTCGCTTTTTGGTTTGGTGTATGCATGTATCCTGCCTATATAGTCTTCATCTAACGAAAGTAAGTTACTGAAATTTTGTGGAAAGTATTACTGCAGTAATTCGATAACGATTAGTTTGATATTGCTGTTTAATTTATATTGTTTGGGCAGACTTGAATTCGGCTCGTCTGGTCATTCTTCATTTTCCTATCTTTTTATTTACTTCTTGTAATATAATAACTACATATTACGTTATGTTTGAGTACTGACTGTGTTTGTATACGAAAGTTGTAAACGTGTTAATTTTATTTGCTAACAAATATCGAATATCGAAGACATCACATTCTTGTTTATATTTCGCACGCGTGACAATCGTTTACAATAACATAGACTTAACCAAATATGACGGTATAAGTTACTTCACTTCAGCATTTAATCAGTTCCGGATCCAGCGTCGGTCATAATGCATCATAAAATATAAATTTCGAATTTGAAATACTTTAAAGCGAATCCTATTGGGAGTATTTTAGTTATTAATATTCTTTAGAAATTTTTTATCCAACATCGTTATCCAACAATTTGATTTGGCTCTTCTGTTAAGGGACATTTTGATTACTAAATTTCCTGTTAAAATCACGATAATCTCTACTACGTCTTCAAATAACCGAAGGTGATAGCTTTCTAACAACATGGGCTTTCCTCAATGCGCTGGAGCAATGGATGGCACTCATATTCAAATTGTTACACCTTCACCCAGTGAACACTCGACGTCGAGAGGACATCGAAATCTCGCCTAAGAAATGCCAAAAACGCAAATCGAGTCAACGTTAAATTATCAACGTGGAAACGTTGATAATTTAATTTTGGGATAAAGTCGAAACACGGTGCCATCCAGTAAACTGCTATAGTGGCGAGAATCTCTTGTCCATACGCAGTTTAAAAGAGATTTGACTCGTCTCCATAAACTTTTGGGGTTTTTTTAGTTAAGAGGCATACGCTTATTCAGAAAATCTTGTTTATTATCAAAACTGCTCACTACTTAATATTTTTAATCACGTTTAACAGCGTTGTAAAAGTAAAGTAGCCGTGAATTTTCCTCCAAAGTATTTTTAACAAATTCATTTTTTTATAGTTGTTATAAGTAAATTATTTCGATCATAAACGCAAAGCGAAAGATTGCTAAAACTGTTATTCTTTAAAACCTTTCAAAAGTGTACATGTTAGATTATTTACATATACGAAAAAAATGATTGAAAAGAGCACCTGTTGATTGGATTCAAGTGACGATAGCACTAAAGATACATTATAACACACAGATAAATTATAACACTAAATACAGACATTAACATAAGCATACATATGAACCAGTGAAAAAATAAACACAATTTATTTAGAATGTCTGCAAGTATGATCCCGGAGGTAAACCGAGCTCTTGCCTTTGTCGATTAGTTTACAATCCGTGAGAATTACCCAGCGTGCGCTTGTCAACTGGAAACCAGAGAAAAGTTGAGTGCTATATGTTATTGTAATGAATGAGAAAAAAAGAAATTAAACATGGCAGTATTTTAAATAAAAAGACTCTTTCTCAAAAGTCATTTAACAAGAAAAACATTTTGACCTGGAAAAATCTATGAGCTCAAGCTGCGTCTTAAGCCCGCCGCACACTGGTGAACTTGCCACGCGTACTTGTTATTCGTGATAAGTGTGATCGACGAAATTTCCTAGTGTGCGCGGAAGTTTTGAACATCATTTTTTATTAAGGACAGATGATATTTTTTGTCACGAGGGACAAAAATTCCTCGTGTGCGGAGAGCAAGCAGCAAGCGCGCTGTAAATGACGAAAATGCGCACGCACGAGATTGAGAAAACAGAATGTCAGATTTGTTGAACGCGTTGCACTCATTGCTGGATGACGAAGATTTCTCAGAGGACGTAGAGGCGCTGCTACTGCTTTTATTGCTATGAAAACGTCGCAGAAGGTTAAGGGCAGCAAATCGTAAAATATGGACGAAACAGCGGCTTTTAAGAAGAAAACACAAGGTATGTATGACAATTTATTGGGAGAGCTAGCAGTAGAAGATCCTAAACAGTTCCGCCTGTATCATTGATTGGACAGGCAATCATTTGAAGATATTTTGAAGATTGTTTTTCAATACATTGTGAAAGAAGACACGCAAATGAGGACAGCGTTAAAACCTCGCAACGACTGGCGGTAACCCTGCGATATCTTGCAACAGGTACGTAGAGTTACCTATAGTGATTCAACACTTGGTCGGAGAAATCAATTCTCTTACTGTTTTTATTATTTTCCCATTTTAGGTGAAACATTTTGTAGCCTGTCATTCCAGTTTAGAATTGGCGAGCGTACAATTTCAAATATTGTTGAGGAAACATGCCATGCTTTGTATATCTCGTTAAAGGAAACATTTTTCGAGGCAAGTTATTAAACATTTATAACTAATATCGGTGGTATTATTAGAAATAACTGCTTACATCATCCATTGAGAGGTCATGTTATCATAGGCAGATGAGTCTTGACCTGAATTAAGCTCTCTAGAGATTGGTGAAAACCACATATTGAGAACAGGACGGCTCAATCCACCATCTATCGGGGAAGATGTGTTGTATCGTTGACTATTTGTCATATCATTGCTGATGGGGTGCATGTTTTTTTTGTGCATAAGGTGGTTGAAACATATGTTGTTGCATAGCTACTGGCGGTCTTGTGTAAGTTGATGCATGATGTGTAACTTCCCCTGATTGAGCCTGGAACAGTATTTCATTAATTTTGTATTGTGCCAAGTGCTTTACATTGTGAAAAGTTCAGACAACGACTGCGTGATATAATGACCAAATGCTTCATCCGGATTTTTACATTGCTTGTGAGACATTTCTCTGCTTTTTTTTCTTGAGATGTTTTCTGCCAAACGAGTCATGAGCTTATAGTCTTCGTCTTCCTGCCGTTTTCTATTTGGGTTTATACGCGTTGGCTGTTTAGTACTAGAAATCGGACAGTCAACCTCGTTCTCAAGACTTTTTCTTGGTGTTGCCGGATCATTAAAACTGTCCTCATCATCATCATCGTTTTGATCATCAACTTTATCAGCAGTTGATATGCATGATGGTGAATTGGAATCGTCCTAGAAGCATTCAATAAATGAACATGCATTAGTTTAACATAAGCAAAACTATGATATAATTGCTTTATTTTCTTCAATTACAGACTCCATCTTGTGAAGAAGAATGGAAGGCTGTTGTATACCAATTTTTAAAAAATGGAACTATCCTGGCTGCATTGGAGGTCTAGATGAGAAACATATAGCCATACAACAACCAAATAGTAGTGGATCAGAATTTTTCTACTAGAAGCATTTTTTCAGTGTTTTGCTTTTAGCTCTAGTAGATGCAAACTACAATTTTGTCCATGTTAAAAATGGAGCAGCAGGCCGTGCAGGAGATGCTGGCGTGTATAACGAATCTAGCTTGCAAAAAGCTGTTGTTGAAAATACTTTTGGTCTACCACTACCTGTTGAAATTCCAGGAGTTTCATGAACAATACGGTGCCACATTGTGGGTGATGATGCTTTCCTATTGAGCAAAACAATGATGAAGCCATTCCCTCACAGGAATTTAAATAAGGAGAAAATAATCTTGACCTACAGATTGTCTCGTGTCCGACGGGTCGTAGAAAATAATCTTGTTCTTCTGAACACATGAGCTTTACATATGTGTCATAAGAATAAGAAAATACAACGTTTATGAAATTTTATCCATAAATTTTCTTTATTGTAACTGCGTGAAAGCACTATTGATATTGCACATCTAATAAAAACAACAAGTTTTTTCTAAATAAACAGGTTTCAACATCCCATGATGCCTAATCATCTGACTTTTTTGAACTATACACTTGTTTTCCGTTTGATTACGACCCGTTAAAACACACAAATAAAAAATAATTTAGCAAAATAGATAATAAGCCCAATTTGCGCCTAAATACTGCAAATACCTATCAAACAAGCAAAATATATTAATGCGTAATAACTGATAAGTGCATGTTCTTATGAAAATATTTTGTGATCTGCTAAACGCAAAATTTTGTGCTATACTAAAATGCGAAATTTTGTGTTATACTTAACGCGAAAAAATTTGTGCCTTACTAAACGCAAAATTTTGTACTCTACTAAACGTGAAAAAATTTGTGCTCTACTAAACTCGAAATTTTGTGCTCTACTAATCTAAAAATTGATTGATTCTTACTGATTAAACAATGTTGTTCAGTCTTGTTAATTGAATAATAAATAGAGAATTTGTCTTGGTGACAAATCTAAAAATCGTTCTAAAGATCGCAAATACTATGGTGAATGGCAAAAGCAATAAGTTAATAATTCTTAAAAAACTGTTTTAAGTAAATCAGTTTTAAATATAAACTTTTTTAAGTAAAACAGTAAATTAATTCTTTTAAGAACTTTGAATTATTACTTTTACCATTCGCCATGGTATTTACGATCTTTAGAACGATTCTTGTTAATTAATTAAGCATTAATGTTGCAAGTATCTTGAACAATCTTTTGAATAACCCTGTTAACAGTGTGCAGTGCAATATTGCAGCATAATGTTTTCAAAAATCCTGAATAAGCTGGTTGAGAACTTGCAACAACTTGATGATTTTCAAGCGTGTATGGTATACTGGAAAATGTCACTCTTAGTATCGTCCTACTCGGGGATAGTTGGACGTACGAACGATGACGAAGGATTTCAATGATTCCATTCTCCCGAATTACCAATAGAGAGTTTCTTTTGAGGAAATACTAAACTCCAATTTGTTAAACATACTTAAAGGGAATTTAAGTATGTTTAACAAACATCATTTCTGTTTTTTGTATATAGATCAGGTACGTTTATTCAACGTCATATAAACGCTATTTTGGACGTCAAACTCAATGTTGTCATTACGTTGCATAAAATCAAAAGCTTACTTGGCAGCATGCTCAAAACCCAAAGTGGTGTGAACGTTGTACGAATGGATTTTTATTTTTCGAAAATCCAACGTTTCTGCAAAGCAAAATTTTACGTTTCGTGAACGTTGTTTGAACAGTCAATTCTACTTCCCAGACGAACGTTTTTCCAACGTCAATACAACGTCAAAATAATTTCTTTAAGTAGTGTGAAGGTCGTGACAAGGTCAAGTCAGACATCACGTTCTCACAACCTTTTAAGTCGCAAGTCCGCCGTTTGATAGCCGCGTTAACACCTAGTTTATAGTGGCTCTCTTTAAAATAAAATGTTAAGAAACTAGATTAAATGACATCTACCTTTCATAATCACCACAACCCTATTCTGCATACAATTTTTTGTGCTTCCAAGACAAAGCGAAGTTCTACTGGCGTATTCAGACTTAGTGCAGAAGTACGATACCATGGTCGGGCACAAATCTGCTAGTCGTTTGCAATACTGAGTCCCATTAGCTTCGTCTGATTATAATCTTATGTTTTTCATTGTAAATACTTTACATGTTACTTGGTAGTCGTCGTTCACATTGCTGCCATTGCGTGAGTACCTTTCTCAAGGACTTTATTTTTTCGTGGTTCTTTTTGACTAGGTTACTTTGACTCGGGCAACATCAAAATATTGTGTTCACAATGTGCCCGTGCATATTTTCTCGTTTCTATTCACAATCTAATCGATAAAAATGACAGTATCAGAAAACTTGTAATCATAATCAAACTGTTATCATTACATTTTATTAACAACTTGTTGTGTTATTACAGGTATAGAAGAAATGAAAGGTTGGGTTTTGAAAAAGAATTGCACAACTAAAATAATTTTTGGACTTTTTGTCGTCAACATTGTATTTTTGCAACTTTATCGACTCTATGGTCATCATGTTTAGTTTAACGTACCTAATGGACCTGAATTTTCGTTGAGCAAGTTTTTGACCATTGATACCACAACACATAAAACAACAAAAGTTTCTATAAGCAAGATGAGACAAAATGAAATAAATCCTGATGCTGCCAACGAAAACACAGAAACGTCGGAAGTTTTATCCGTGAGCTTATTCATGCGGCTAACTTCCATTCACAAAAAACGATTTTACTGTGATTTTCTGAGGACTATGGTTTTGTTATGACCTTCATCATATGGAAAGTTGGTCTTGGTGTTTGACAAAGAGTCTGCTAATGATAGAGCTCTAGCAAAGATCGTTAGAGCTCAGTTTAGTAGATCCTTCTCTGATCGCATCCTTGAAATTGCTTTTGAGCCTTTACCACGTAGCCACGATACACTTTTAAAACTCCCTTGGCGCAGTCGAGATACAGGTTACAACAGACAAATCTGGAGTAGCGTTTACATAGATTTGTACACAAAAAGTTCAATAATTGCTTGGGTTGATTCAGACAGTGCATTTTCAGCTGCCGTTACTTGTCATTTGATGTTTAATGGTACACGACTTCGAGTTATTGGTACTGACTGTACGTTGAAAGAATCACATTTTATTAGATCGTGTGATAAAAGCGTGCTACTTTCTCTTGGATTACCTGCCGTGAGTGACTTCATGTTGCATTTCCCAGTTTATATATATCGCAACACATTTAAAAATTGTAGAAAGTATTTAATCAAGCGACATCAAGCAAAACATTTTGAAGAAGTATATAAATACATAAGTGCTCGAAGCAAAATTTGTCCAGTAACTACAGAGCTTAACTATGCCTTGCACTTTGAGAGAGATCAATACGACTGGACCTTTAAAATTTGCTCTTGCCCTTGGGATAATTTTAACAGGTGCTTTCAATCTAGAGCTAAAATTAGAACAGAAGATATCAGACCGATCTTAGCAAATCCTCCGTTATGTGTACATACGGGAAAACCTAATTCAGCATTTGAATCAGCTCAATTAATTTTAACTAGCTACTGCTTGTCAAACAAGGAGGCTGGATTAAAAGCAAGACACTGCATAAATGAAAGTGACTATCAAATTACCAAAAGTTTAATTCTTTTCAAATAAGGGAGAGCATCGGAGACGTGTGTTGGAAACATGACAGGAATATGTCTTGACATTCTAAAGAGACATATCGCCTATTTGGCTCAGAAATAAAAAGTAAAAAACGTACAATGGACTGGAACAACGTAGAGAAAGTTGAAGCTTTTGCAAAAGAAGTCGGAAGTAGTTGTCCAGTAATTCATAACGGCAGACCTGGAAAAAAGATCCCAATTGTTTGAACCTTTTTTTGAAATAAGTTTTCTAATTTAAAAAATATTGATATGCCATTTTTGTAGCTTTTGATACTCAGAAATTTGGCCAGCCTTAGTTCTTTGAAGAATGTTGATTGTTAACGTGCTCCTTTCACCAAAAAGTTTTTTAGCAATATGTATCGAACGCCTTTACTACCTTATGTCAATGATAATCTTTCTATGAGGTGCTTCTATCATTATATGCAGTGTATTTATCATTATATGCAGAGCTCATGTTATTATGCGTGGTGCTTTGTTCGGTACATGCGGTAAAAGATGTCTGTTCATTAAAATTCTCGCAATCCTCCTTCCTTGTTTATTTTCTTCCTATAAAACATCTTACTTACTGCGCTTTACAAATCAACGGCTAGGCTGTGTCAAGCAAGTTACTCCTTAGTTTTTCCTTTTCAAATTCCCAGGTCAAGACTGAAGCTCCATGCAATTTTACCTAGGATACTTCAAAGACTTCTATTCATACTATGCTTTATAAGTGAGTGAAGTTCCAAATTTGGCATAAAGCATTATGATCCCAAAAACATGCATGACAAGACGTTTTGTCTACCAATTTATCATGTATGGTCTTTACATAAATATTCTGACCTTAAAATTACTTATTTACGTAAAAAAATAAGTCAATTTAAAATTTCAATAATTCAGCAAATATCATAATATATTATATCACAACTTATTACTCTTGCATATAAGCCAGTGTACATCTTGTATTCTAAAAGCAGAAGTCGCCCCAACTGCACTTTGGTGATAGCCTGAAGTGCACATTGTGTTTTACCTGTTGCCTATTGAAGTCAGTCTGATGTTTTAGGCCGATAAAGTATAACACTCGTATGTTGACATTTGTCAAAACTTCCAATTCGAGAAAAATTTTTAACATTCGCTCCCTCTGGAATCCCGTTTTCTATTACTGCTTACATTAATGACAACCAGCAAAAACAAGCCCGATACCGTAAGCATAAATATTGAAAATATTGATTCAGGTTTTTGTTAAATAGGCACACACATCTAAATGAGGAATATCTACGTAAAATAACGTACATTTTGTTAAGTACTGATTAAGTACTGATTAGAAATAAATTTCAAACGGCATTCTATTTACTGTCAATGTGTTGTTAAGCTTTAATGCATAGTCTTATGCGCATTACTTGTGTTTTTTACTGTTTGTGAACAGCTTGGTGCAACTGTCTTTCTTGAATAGTACGGTAAATCTTGCATAAAATGTCCAAGAAGGAGTTGGAAAATATAGCTTACCCCTACGACTTAAGTTGACTGAAAATATATTATAAGTAGGCATGTAATTTTTTGGGTTTCTTTTTTTTGTAGGTTTGATTCTGGGTGTCTTTTAAGGTATTTTGATATTCTGATAAATCTACAGAGAACTTATGAAGAAAATATCTTGAACTAGGAGGTCAAAATAACGAAATTCAGAAATTCTATACATTCAGACATTTGTACAAAGGTGAATATTGTTTAAAAATAAAAGTTTCTATGGGTTTCATAAATAATTTTACTGAGCTTTTGACTCGTTTTGTCAAGCCTTCTTAACAAAAGAAGTAAATAATAATGCAAAAACAATGTAATTAGTTTATAACTTCTGATTCTGAAGAAGGCTCGTAGCACCGAGTGGCAAACTCAAGTCGGGAGAAACTTCTATTTTTAAACAATATAATACCTGGATAAACACACTTCAAGCTAATTAAAAGAAAATATAAGATATGCTCAAAAGAACTAGAAAACGGGAATTTTTGCACGCAAAAAGTATACATGAAGTGCATAAACAATGTGTCCTGATAGTAATTTTAAGCATTTGTTGAAGCAATGAAATGTATTTGGCAACAGTTTTACATAGTTATTATAACGGAAAAGCAATCTTTTCAAATAAAGTATGCAGTTTTCATCGCTTTAGTAATCCATGTCTTTTTTGAAATCTGTTTACTGTCCATGCAATGATGGACTGTGCTGTTAAGATGAGTTGCAAAGAAGTTTGCGAAAATGTGTAAGATTGGCAAATGTGCTGAATAGGATTGCAAATAAAGATAGAAGTTGAATTTTTTATTATGTTTTGTTTTCATCCATTGAGAAACGCGTTATTTTGGAACGTGATCCAGGAAACAAATTAATTTAAAAACACTTATCTTATCCCGTGTTGTGGGTGAAACTGGAACAGTTTATGTCAATGATGACGATGATGATGAGAATGAATGTTTCAAACCCGCTGATCTAAATGGTGTTTTAATGGATGGATGAATTGGTTAGACGGATGAATTTAAAAAAATATATTTCAGAAAATATGACGATTTAAAAACTATATCACAAACATTGCGACATATTGTTGCATTTGATTGTGATTTATTAAAAAGTGAAGAAGAAAAGAAAAAAACAATGAAAAGAAAGGAAGCTTATAAAAAAAATTAAAAAGAAATGCCAAAACTTTAGTAAGTAAGGAAAGATGAAAGGATATTGAAAATGGCAATGAAGATTAATGTATTTATGTATTTAAAGAGTTTTGTAATAAATTGGATATTTCAATATATGATTGCATTGCTTATTAAAGTAATTTATAAATGTTATTTTTGTAAAGAAAATTAGAATGAAACATGATTTCGTAAAATTTTGTATAAATTAAGGAAATGATAAAATTGAAAGAATATGTTATGACATTTTTCTTTCAATGCTTGATTTTCATCCTACTCCAAAGATTATGAATTACGATGACCATGAGAAAAAGAAAACTAATAATTTAATTAAAATGTTTTATAATAAAAGCTGCATGATTATTAAAAGGTGAACATTTACAAGATAATGAACAAAATATGTGTAATTTGTATCAAAAGAAAAAGAAAAAATATAATCGTTTAAATATAAATATATGGGAAAAGGTATTTATGGTATTTATGGAGTATAGATTTAGCTGAAATGAAAGATTTGGCAAGATGTAATGATAATTTGCGTTATTTAGTATGCATATTTGATGTTTATACAAGATATGGCTCTGTTCGTTTATTGCAAAATAAATCTAGTAAAAATGTTATGAAAAAATTTGAAGATATTTTATTGAATGAAAATAAATTTACCCAAAAAAATATCAGACGATGGAACGGTATTTTAAGGGATTCCAAAAGAAATTGTGGCAACATACACATTTTCAATTATACTTTTAAGTAAGAGGAAAAAGTTAATTATTTTACTGTTAAATAATTTAAAAAAAACATTTATTTCTTCTCCGATTTAAGTAATAATTAACAACAAAATTTAGATTTATTAACAACCTTATATAAATCTAAATTCGAGCCATAATAATTTAAAAAAATAGCTCAATATCACAGACATTTCAAGAGAGCTCCGCACAAGATTAGTAAAATAATTATCCTGTGTGTGATATCTGACAAATATTTGTCCTTAATCTAATACATTGAGTAATAAATTGTTTCACTTAAGATGAGCTTTTCTGATAACTTTTTTCTATGCAAAGAATTTGTTTTGTTCTAGGTGACATAGTTTAAAGTATTTTTGTTATTACAATCTAAGGCTTGTTAATCATTTATTAGAGAAGGCATTCGTTGTATTTTTTTAAATAATAGAAGTTGTTTTTCAATTTATTTTTTTAAATCATAAATACAGTTTTTTTATTTAGAAATTGTGTTTAATGTTAGTGTTAAGTTTTAATAATTTTGGTAGTAATTAACAAAGTAGTTTCAAAAATATGCAATGATAATAATAGACAAAAAAAATTTATATCAGATATTAAGACATAAATGTTAAAAATTTACTTTGTGACAAATCGTCATTGGGTGGAATCAAACCACCAACCTTTCAGTAAACAACCAAACGCACTAAGAAATTATTCCACAGAGACACTCCTAACAAACATATGTCATAATTATAATTTTAAGTTATAGCAAAAAGTTGATCATGTTGTACTAATAAATTTAAAAAAAACTTTTATTTCCTCTCCAATTTAAATAATGTTTAAGAACGAAAAATTTACTAGATGCTTAACCTTATAAATACCATATTTTAAGCCATAGTAATTTATCAAATGGCTAATTTTCATAAACATTTCACAAGAGCTCCTCACAAGATTAGCAAAATAGTAATCCTGCGTGTAATATCCAACAAATATTTGTCCCTAATCTAATACAGTGAGAAATTTTACGATAAATTCTTTTAATTAATATGTGCTTCTCAGATAATTTTTTCCTATACATTAAATTTTTGGTGCTCTAAATGACATAGTTTAAAAGATTTTTGCTATTAAAAATTAAGTCTAGTTAAACTTTTAGTTGAGAAGATATTCGTTGTTTTTTTAATAATATAAGTTTTCAAATTTACTTATCTTTCTTTCTTATAAACAGGGTATTTATTTTAGTAAAAAAATTATGTTTAATAATAATGTTAAGGTTTAAAAATTTTTATAGCAATTAAATTATTAGTATCAAAAAATATACAATAATAACCACAAACAATAAAAAATTTATATCAGATATTATAACATTTAAGTTAAAAATTTACACAGTGCCAAATCGTCACAGGGTGGATTAAAAACAACAACCATTTGCTTGTCAGCCGAATGCGCTAACCAATTACACCACAGACACACTCATAACATTCAGATTTTAAAATTATATATTTGAGTTATAGCAAAAAGTTAATTATTTTGCTTTTAACAAATTTAAAAAAAACTGTTCTATTCTCTACACGAACGAAAAATTAACTGGATATTTTACTTTATAAATAGCTAATTTTAAGCCATATTAATTTATAAAATATCTCATTTTTACAGGCATATAAAGAGAGTTCCACAGAAAATTAGTAAAATAATAATACTGTGTGTGATATCTGACAAATTTTCCCCCATATTCTAATACACTGACAAACTTCACAATAAATTCTTTCATTTAACATGGGCTTCACATTGTTTCTAATAAAAACAATATTCTATAGTTTTCATTTCCATCAGTATTTTTATTTTCGTTCATTCTGATGAATAACCAATATGAATCAAATTAGTCGCAGAAAATCATATAACAATGTATTTTTTTTTTTTTTTTCTTTACTTTCTATTTTGTATGTCTTTCTATTTTTTTCCTTTTTTCTTCTTCTTCTTTTATTAATTTAATTTCTTCTTTAAATTTCTTTTTAATTCTTCTTTGTCTTTACAACAAACGTTTGCATGATAGTCCATAATCTCTGCTGGAGTTGGTGCTGGCAATTTTTTATAATACAAATAAAGCTCATAATCCAAACATAATCCACAGTGAAAACAATATTTATAAAAAAACTTGCTGTGTAATT